CAGGGAGCGACGGATCTCAGTTCACGCGAACCAAACAGCCATTCCTGAGTGGAGCGTCAGGCGTGCGTGGATTGACATGTTTCCGGGGATTTTGTTCAGATTTTTCCGGGGGGGGTTCACGTTTTTCCCCTACTGTTTTTGCTTTTGCTTCTGCTGGGAGTGCTTTACAAGCACTAGGAGCAGCAGAAAGGGCAGGGGACGAAGCACCAAAGCCAGCGTGACAGTGACAAAGGTATTCCACTTACTAGGGACTTCTTTGCGGTTGTCTTTAGCTTCACTGGTTTCAGGTTTCTTTGGGCTCGGTTTCTTGTCCTTAGGGTTTCTTTAGGCCTTCTTCCGGAAAAGGCATCCCACTTAACGATGCCTTTCAGTAGGAGGAGAGAGGAACTGTAATAGGGACTTTTCTGCGGTTGTCTTTGGGTTTCAGTGGTTTCGGGTTTCTTTGCGCTAAGCAAAGTAGAAATCCACCTTTGTCGCAGCGTCAACGCAAAGAAAATAGTAGTTGCGGTAAGTGGTAAGACTCGTAGCGGGGTGGTCCGAGTGATAGAGGTATTTCAAATAGTAGGGGGGGCGGTGGACGGTAGTGGCAACAATTTAAAAAAGCAGGGGAGGGCGCAGCGCCTCCCCCCGCAACTCAAATCAAATATAGACAGCGCTGGGCTGCTTCGTTTCTTGATTGGTGTAATTGGGTGTCAAAGCTCAAGGTGAAGGTCTTATCAGCCAACTTTGTGGCAGCGTCAATGCAAAGAAGATAGTCAGCGGAAGCAACAGCAGAAGCAAAAGCAAGGCAGATGCAAAAAGCAAAAGCAGAAGGAAAAGCAAAAAGCAAAAGCAAATGCAGAAGCAAAGGCCAAAAGCAAAAAGCTAAAAGCAGAAGCAAAAAGCAAAAGCAGAAGCAAAAGCAGTAGGTGAAAAAAAACGCGAAAAAAATCCGGAAAAAACCTGAAAAATTCCCGGAAAAGAGGGTTCCGTGCGCGTTGGTCAAACAGTTCCGTAGTCCAATTCATACCGGACATTGCTGGTTGCCAAGGCTAGGACTTTCCAAACCTCACAAAACGAAAAACAAAAAAGGTTTGATCGACTCTCGAAAGAGGCCAGGGCAGGCAGCACAGCGCGCGCGAGTCCCCCGCTAGGATGCGCATCTGCGACAGCAGCGCCCGACGAAAGTGGACGAGCTGCGCAGAAAAGTGGCGCGCTGGCTCGGATGATTCATGTGAACGTAATTCAATCACATCCGAGCGCCCGTGGAAGTGAAACCAAAATGCTCCTCCGCGCGCCGCGTCCGGGCAGCAGCCGCGTGAAAAGGTTGAAACAGAAGCGCCCGCCGAAGCACCTGAAAGATGCTTTTCCCCGTCAAGGGGCCAGGGCCAACGCGCAGCCAGGCCAAAAGCTGCTCGCGCAGCCCCTCCTTGGAGGTGTGGTGAGGCTGACAGCCGCTGGCCCCCACTGGTTGCACCCACACACACGACGTTGAAGGCAGCCTGCGAGCACGCTTCCTGCTGCGCGCCACTGCCACTGCACTCATTGCGCAGCCGCCGGTTCGGGCCAAAGCTTTGTGAAAAAGGCTGGCGCGCCTCCACACCCTCGCGCCGTGCTGCTGCCAACATCAGCTCCACGCCGCGCTGTAGGGAATCCCACCAAGCGTGGAACGCCCGCATCCCCGCAGCGACGCGGCTGCAAGTCCTGGCCATTGCGTGCTCCCACTCGGCCTCCTCAGCGGAGTGTGCCTCCCCACCGCCGGCAGCGTAAACTAAAACGCCCGGAAACTCCGCGCGGCTGAAAGTGGCCACATCCGTGGGCAACCTTCTGTACTGAGCCACGCGGCCCCGGCCGGCGCCTCACTACGTAGCCACTCTCTCTCTCTCTCTCTCTGAAATCTTGGGTCTCCAAAAAACAAAAAGAATTGAAAAAACAATATTTCAGAACCCTTTCTGCAGAAGCCCCAAGTTCAAAGACCTCTGGAAAATTGTTTTTCCCGAAAGCATTGCGAAGGGTTCTTCCGGAAAATCCTTTGAACACTGACACTTCGACACTTACACTTCGACACTCACACTTACACACACACACACTGGAAGAGCGAAAGCATCCAAGTGCGAAGTATGCCAGTGTCAAAGTATGCAAGTGTAAGCATGCAAGCATGATATGCAAGGGTGAGTATGCAAGCATGCAATGACTATGCAAGCATGCAATGAGTAGGCAAGTGTGAGTATGGAAAACTAGCACGGGAGATGTCCTAATGAAAAAACATTTCCCCACTTTATAAATTCTCTCTTAAAGGCGGAGTGCGGGACGAACAGCATCAACCGAAAGTGCAACCCTCTGCGGAGATCGTGCGTGTCGAGTGCGCGAAATGCAGGCGAGAGTGCGATTTGTCCGGTCCGCGCGCAACCCTCTGCGGAGATCGTGCGCGTCGAGTGCGCGAAATGCAGGCGAGAGTGCGATTTGTCCGGTCCGCGCGCAACCCTCTGCGGAGATCGTGCGTGTCGAGTGCGCGAAATGCAGGCGAGAGTGCGATTTGCCGGCTGCGCGCGCAACCCTCTGCGGAGATCGTGCGTGTCGAGTGCGCGAAATGCAGGCGAGAGTGCGATTTGCCGGCTGCCCGCGCAACCCTCTGCGGAGATCGTGGAAGCCAGCTTGCTGGCTGTAGTTGAAGTGGGTAAGCCAGCACGCTGGCTGCCATTGTTGAGATGG